GAAGCCAGGAAATCCAAACAGCAAAGTAATAACAGCAAAGGACACGGAATGCCAATCGAGGGAGGAGATCAATAGGCCCAGAAGCCTGACTGAAAGACAGTCCCTGGAACACCAGCCTCTGTCTCCAGCTAACGTGATCTCCCCCCGAGGGAGGGGCTCACAGAACTTTTATTTGAATTTAGTGGCCAATCAGAACACTCACAGGGAAGAAATTTCTAGTCAGATTATCTCATGCTTTAGCTGTTGCTGAGCATGCCTCTGTGGGGAAAGTAGGTCAAACATGACTGACAGGTCCGCAGGTCACCCAGGGGGCACAAGCTGGGTGAGCCTTGGAACTTTCCACTCACAGACTTCAACTGCGCATGTCAGGTACAGAACTTTTGTGTTGGCAGCATATACTTAGGATTTTTCCGAGACATGTTCATTGGTTCCCTCTAGTAGTCTGGTAGTGATCTATCACGCCAGCACACTACTTCCTCCTGCTGCACCACTTCAGCTGTGCTAGCTAACATATTTAAGGGGTGGGATCTCTAAACCACAACTATAGGAAGGAGAGTAGTGGCCCTACAGAGGCTGCTTTCGGTGTCTCATCCTATGAGTGGGAAACCCATGCAAAGGGCTGAAGGAGGTATTTTATGTCCCTATGTTCATATGGGGAATGAAAATTCTCATCCATAACATGCAAATGTTTTTAGCAGTTCTGCAGAAATGAGTGGGTTAGAGTGGTTTATTTTTGGACAATATTTTCAAGCTGCCAAATTTATCGCTTGTGACCACTTCCAAATATTCTTCTACTGACCTTTTGTCACCCCTTCTGAGTCAGTCAAAACCCACTCATCATGATACTTAATACCAACCTACTTCTAAATACATATGAAAGCATGTAGAACATACAACAGTTCTAAATTCCCTATCAGCCCAAATTCTTAATCCACTCCTGTTTGGGGAGCTTTTTGGTTTAGTTTTTAATGTTTTCTTACTTCTACCTACACTTTCCATTAAAAAAAACTGAACAGATGGGGTTTTTTTACATTTAATTTCATTATTATCTATAAATGTAGTCAGAAGACAGAATAAAATCTTAGCACAAGGACTATCTGAAGAATAATGTACACTCTTGATCTGTAAGAGATTCCCAATTTTTAGACAGGGAATTTTCATTACCCATTACTGAGTTTGCAGTATTATGGCTATTATGGCAGGAATGATGAGAACTTGTCTAAAGCCAGACTAAAAGTCATTTTCTCTAAATTTACATTTCATATTTATATTTTTTTCTGGAAACAGGCCCAAAAATATCATGGAATGCCTAATCTTTTGCAAAATTCTTTTCCTCTTTAATTTTGACCAATATGACCCTGCAAAGCAAAGTACCCTTAACTCCCACTTGAAATGAGTGGAAACTGAAAGAGATTCGCACCTGGTACATCCCTACTAGCGACAGGGCCACAAAAAAGGTGAACAAAGGAGCAAAAGTGACAGGAAAACTGGCAGTCTCTCAAAGCTAACAGCAATGATCTGGACTAAAACTGTTCTAAACTATCTCAAAGTGATTCAGGTAGTTAGCAAATGGTAGCATTGGGCAATACACAAATAGCCAAGCATTAGTCCTTGTTCAATGCATCACTGTGCATTTGCATCAAAAGATATTTATTCTCTAAGTTCAGAATTGCTAAGCAGTCCCATGAGTCAGAGCACAAGTTCTGAGTGCTCTTGTGTGATTATTGTTGCCAGGGAAACTAGACCCTTGCCAGGCATCTATTCAGCCTTTCAGAGACTAAGCGATCATAAGGCATTGGAATAGCAATAGACATCACAAATGTAATTTCTCTACAAAGCAAATATATTGCTGGCACACAAGACAGGTTTTTAAATCTGTAGATAATGTGTTTGATGATAAAGTATATTTGCCATGGCAAAGCTTCAGTTAACTGTGCTCTAAAGCTGTGAATTCAAACATATGTTTCTATTTAATCTGTGCTATGTAAATTAATCCTGCCCAAATCTTTACCTCTTCAAGAAAAAAAAATCTGTCTAAAAATAGCAGAGATTTGCTGTTTCTTCCTCTGGTTCCATTTACATACATTTTGCAGCCCTGTCGATTATGGCATATCCAAACCATAATTTTTACTGTTGGTTAGAATGGTTGCCACCGTTATGTCAGTTTTCTACAATTTTAATCATCTTAAAGTGTTTAAACACATTTTATTTTGCAATACTAATAACAACAGTATTAATGCTAATATTGTAAATGGTATAAAATGGCTGGTTGTGGTAGGAAAGACTTACCCCAACTGGATGCGGAGCAGAGCCGGCGGGGCACCAAGCCAGAAAAAAAAACCCGGCAAAAGTGAAACCACAGCAAGAGAAGATGCCACATTAAAAGACAAAAAGGAAAAAGAATGGATGAGCTGGGAGGAGTCAGGGTCGGCTTCCAAATCGGCATGGGTGCACCTTATGGCCGCATGCTGGGGTTGATTTGCGGGCCAGCTCCTTGAGACAGGGATGAAAGGCCCGGCAGAAGAGCAACTCAGGGGACCAGAAAGGAGTTCTTCAACAGGCCTGGAGCAGCCTGGAACAGAAGGGTGCCCCACTGAAGGGACGTGATGGCTGCCCCAGGAAGGGGCTTTCCAAGATAAGCAGAGCCAGACAAGGCTCGGTGACTCACCTAAAGAAGCACCATGGACATCAGACACCTCCAGCCCAGATTGGATCCAGACAGGACCTGAAGGGGCAAGAAGAGATGGATGTCTGAGCCGTGGCAAGCATAGAGCCGAGAGAGAGAGAGAGGCACCGGGGAGCAAGGTAACCCGGGGTTGGAAAGACACTTAGGTGGGACCAAGTACAGCCGGGAAAAACTGGGACGAGGTGACATCCTAATCCGACCATTATAGATTTAGAGGACCGGAACACCAGAGTTTATACTGTACCTGCTCTAGCAATCCAGAAACAACATCTTTGGTTGGCATTAGGTGGGGTGTAGGGGAGGCAGACAGTAGGAAAAACAGTCAGGAAGATTGAAGGAAAGTACCTGGAAGGGTGGGACAAACCATCTTCCTCCCAGTTAAAATAATTTATTCCAGCAAAATGTGGCTATTGACACCCCCTGGGGAACCTTCCAAGCTCTAACCCAGTAACAGGCCTGTCTCTTCCTTAAGCAAAGGTGAAACCAGAAAAAGCCCTACGGACATGATGCATGGGTGAATGACACGGGAGACTACGCTGGTACACATTGATCTACCCTAACAGATAAACTAATCTATGTTAGCATCAAATTAAAGAGGATACATGCAGGATTTGGATGAAATGAAATACAATTCTACTACAAGAACAAATTAAAATAGGTGTGGACTAATTAAAAATTAACGTAACCCACACATGTCTGGAGGCTATTTGCTGTTATCCTTACTATTACTGTTTAGTATCTTACTTTTGAATTACACCGGCCATTTTCTGTAGGAGATTAAGTATTTTACCAAAAAATGCACAGGACATTTGTGATAAAACTGGAAAATTAATCTGGCTTTCCTCAGCCCCAGTCCCAGTCTGGTGCCTTAATTGAAAGACTCTTTCCAGTGAAACAATGATATCTAAAATTACTAATAAAGAATGTTAAGGCTGCAAAGTCAGCCTTAACATGCATGCCCCAGTCTTCTAACCTCTTTCTTACCTCAATCCAGCTGTCAAAATTCAAATTAGATAGTTTATCCTGCCACTATGCATTGAAGCCAGCAGGGATGGCATTGAGAATGTAGGGAAGAGGCTCCCTGATACCAGTTTTGCTTAGCATCATAGCAGCCCCCAATGGCGAAGAACAGCTTTTCCAGAACAAGTCCTACTTTGTCATTTTAGCCAGAAGATGCCTAGTGCATCCTAAATAATGGAAATTAGTTGCCTTTTAAACGTCAGGTAACTCAGCTGAAGTTACTGGTTTTCACAGAAACAACAAAAGGTACATCCCCAACCCCTCCCAAGTACAAGATTCCTCCCTGACAAATTTCAAACCCTTGCTCCTGAGCATAGGCTGTTGGAGCTTCAACTAAAAGTTTTTAAACAAACTGGTTTAAATCTGTGTTAACTTGGACACAGCAATGGATTTTTCCCTAACCTTATCTCTTAATATGGCTGAATTGTTTTTTTCCTGAAACTTGCCAAAAAAAGTCCAGCCTGAGGCCTAAGCCCAGGGACCACAGCGTGGCCTGAACCCAGCATAGAAAATTTTAATCTGGATAGTTAATATTCTACAAAGTTGTACATCCTGAAAGCAAGATCTAATGGGAAGTTGTGTACTACCAACACTGCCTAGAATTAATCTTATCTTGTATTTTGCTCTCTCTGCTCTTCCAAATATCCAGTCTCTGAGATGTTGCCTCTTCTTGAAGGGAGAACTAAATGACTTGCGTGACATCTAAATGTAACTGTGAATTCCATTTCACGTTATGTGAAAAGGTTTTCAAAAACAAATCCCCAATGACAATCGCTTCTTCCTTTAACAACAGTGGTATATAACATTGACAAATATCTATATTCAAATTGTGTTTCTTTGCTTATAGATGGATACACAACCGATGATATTGAGTTTTACTGGAATGGGGGAGAATCTGCAGTAACAGGGGTTAACAACATTGAGCTCCCACAGTTCTCAATTGTTGATTACAAGATGGTATCAAAAAGAGTGGAATTTACAACAGGTAAGCACCATACCTCTCAGAAAAGTGGTTCCAAGACAGAGGAGTCAATGGCTGAGTTATTAATGCCACTTTATTCCTTTTTACAGGAGCATATCCCCGACTATCGCTCAGTTTTCGGCTTAAACGAAACATAGGTTACTTCATTTTGCAAACATATATGCCTTCCACGTTGATCACAGTTCTCTCATGGGTATCTTTTTGGATCAACTATGATGCATCTGCAGCCAGAGTTGCCCTAGGTAACTAACTTTCAGGTCTATCAAAAAAAGAGAGAGTACTGCTAGCATTTAAACAAGTTGTTTGTTACAGAAGTTACATAAGGCTAATTTAGGAAATGCTAATTTAGTATGATCTTTCCAGTAGCATGTGTAGTACAGTACATAACGATATAGATCCTTTAAAATCTATAGGGATTAAATCTGCACCGCATACTTGAAATATGTTGTGTTAAACCTGAGATTTGCTAACCCATAGGAATTGCTGTGTACAACAGAATGTAGTAATATCACTTGTCTTGCAGCTGCTTGTTTCTTTATTGCAGAAGCATCTCTTTCTTAGCTCTCCAGGAAGAAAGGAATTGCCATACTGGATCCAACTGAGGATCCATCCAGTCTGGTTCATTATCTTGGAAGAGGCAAAGAGTATTGTCCTCAGAAATAGATATGTATGCCATGGCATGCCTGTGGTGAACCTTTTGCTCTGCAATTTGAGTCTGAACAACTTCCAAATAACATAACAGACTTGGATCAGGCCCTTAGCATTTGATCCTTTGTACTGAAGCACAAAAGTTGATATCAGGCATTTTCATCTTAGAATGTGCAACTGATACAATGGGTTAAATCAATAAGAATCAGCATTGATCCATCAATTCAAGTGGGGCTAGATACTGATTTATACCAAATGCAAACCCTGCTTTATATTTCACCCATTTGCTTGCCCAGAATGTGATACCATGTTAGCAGCTGAGGAATCTGGAATGAGGTCTTTACCCTGTTAATAATCTTCAAGTAGAGTTTATACAGACCATCTATGTTTAAGTCTATACTTTTAAATTCTAATTGCCCTCTTTAAATGGAGTTCATTATGCCTGAATGAGTCTAGAGCTATTCATAAGGTACATTAATGATCTGTGCTCAGAACAGAATAGAAAAAAGTCCCCTGTTGCAAAGAACTCAGAAAGACCACAACAAGGCAATTTATTTTGACTCTGTGGATTCCTTTTTGAAATTTCTAGGTTTATCCTGTAACTCATGTTTGTACACATCAGTGCAAATATTAGTTGGCACCTCGGAGCACACTTGAAAGTATCTCAAAGCATGACAGGGTGCCATAGTACCCTGGC